GCCGCTACGTATCGTGCGACTAGGTCTATTGTTTACAAATTATAATCCACGACTGGCAGGATGCGTGTCGGTCGGTACGTAATTATAATAACAATCGGACAATAGTCCTGGTCGGAAGCGTTTCCGTTGTGGTCACTAATTTTGAGTGACGGCCGGGGCTGACCAGCGTGGCGAACAAAGCTTTTGCACATCTGATATTGGCATGTCAAATATGAAATCAAGCGCCGAGGTCGGAACACTAAGCGCCGAGGTCTCAAGTAAAGCGCCGAGCTTCACAAGTATAGCGCCGCGGACCTCGGCGCTAAAAAGCCCTGGGGAGAACCCTGATAGAATTTAGTTTAGTGTAATTTGACCTTAGCAGAAACCATGATTTGCTATTACGTACTTCAATATTCCAGTTGTGGCTTTGCAGGACTCTCCGGCATTGTTGCATGTCTTCAATGCCTGTCAAATCCTGAAATGAGAAATTATTACAGTTGTTATCAAACACACACAAGAAAAACCTTTTAGTTTGCTGGACCAGTTCACCTAAAATCCCCCCCCCCCAACAAAAAAAACATAGTTGAACTCTGGTGACCTTGCCCTTTGTTATATACTGTAGAATACATAATTTTCGCTTGGAATTTATTTTTGCTATTCCCGCTGAAGGGATGATTCGGTGAAAATAAAATCCAGCGAATATACTTTTTTTCCTATATTTCACATTAAACTCATCAAAAATCAGTGAAAATAAATTCTATACAAAACACCCGAAAAGCATTTTCAGAAAAAATAAATTCCAGCGAAAATAAAGTATTCCACAGTACTATTATTCCCATTATCATTATCAAAGTAATTCAGATTTTTTATCATAAAAACAAATGCCGCATCCCAGAAAAAAAAGTGCTGCATTTAGAGGTGAATAAATTCATAAAACATGCAAGATACGAGAAAATCTTAGCTGGCTTTTGCCCAAGTATTTTGTCTGTAAAAAATTAATGATTCACTGAGACAAATATGAACTGCCTTATTCTATTCATTGTGTGACTACTGTATTATTTGAAAGAAAAACAAAAACATAGCAAACCTATTGAAGCCTTGCCCGCAAGGAAATAGTTGATACAACTGGTTAGGTTGAGACCAAGAATTAGCTAAATTCTTGAAATAGTGAAATTTTATAACATAATTTTCATTTCTTACTACCAAATATCACTCTAAGCTATACATTTGGCGGAGGGGTGTTGATTTTGTGATGTTCTACTTCTATTATTTCCATTTATTAGCACATGTACATGATGGGATAGCTTCCCTTTTCAGGGAATTAGTATTAAGTATTACATATCCATTGTTTATCACTTACTGATTTAAAATCAGTTATACATAATTTAGCAAGTTCCTCATTATATTTATCATGATTACACTCAATAACAGAATGTTTATACCATGTTTGATAATAGCAATTACATACATATTCTGGTCCTTCAGATACATCTCTCTGAAATTCATTAATGAGTTCACCAAATCGATCGTTTCCAACTGCATTTTTACATTTCAATCTCTTCGCATTACGCTCTTTCTCAAGTTGTATATTTTTCCTCTTTAATCTCATTGCATTCTTCTCCTTCTCTAATTGTTCAATATTTTTCCTCTTTAATCTCATTGCATTTTTCTCCTTTCCCAATTGTTCTATATTAAAAAATTGCGGATAGCCATTGTGTAGCAAAATATTATGGCCCAATTCAACCTGGCCGTCTAGCTTCGCACGATCCATTTCACCATTTCACTAGAGATCATATCATATGATAGAGGGACTGTGACTCAACCCACCCAATGGAGATCGCTATGTTTATACAACTGTATGAATATCTCATTGGCTTTACGTAATCCATTGTGCCCCTCCCCAAGTGGAAATCACAACACCATGACAGTTTTCACACAAGGTTTTGACTCTGCAGACTATTTTACGTTCATTTCCCCTGTATTGTAAATATTTTTATTTTATTTTTTTATCTGATGATTGAACATCAGCAAGCGTCGATGTACTGTGGATTTTGGCATGTCCTTGTGATGCAATAGCCATTTTATTACGATTAACGTCACTTTCATAAAACTAGCATTATCTCCAATCACGACTGATTCGTGTTTTCTGGTTGGTCAGGAGATTGAAAATTAATTAGTTCCCACAGTTTTTTTCAGTTTGTCTTGACATTTTCACACTATTTTGATAACGTCTCCACGAACAAAAGGACATCTGAGCTTATTTTTAAAGCTTTCGGACAATTATATTCGAAGTGTGAAATACTGACCGGGATTGAATATACGGCACACATCCTGCTTAACATCTTTGTGATATGAAAACAAAGTATACAGGGTTCTCCCCAGGGCTTTTTAGCGCCGAGGTCCGCGGCGCTATACCTGTGAATCTCGGCGCTTCACTTGGGACCTCGGCGCTATGTGTTCCCACCTCGGCGCTTGATTTCATATTTGACATGCCAATATCAGATGTGAAAAAGCTTTGTTCGCCACGCCGGTCGGCCCCGACCGTCACTCAAAATTAGTGAGCACCACGGAAATGCTTCCGACGAGGACTATTGTCTGATTGTTGGTATAATTAAGTACCGACCGACACGCATCCTGCCAGTCGTGGATTATAATTTATAAACAATAGACCTAGTCGCACGATACGTAGCGGCTAGTCAAATTTGTGGAATTAGCACCTCTTTGTTTGTAAGTAAATACTTTCTGCGATAGACACAGTCTTTAGATTTAAAGCTAAAATTATTTCAAAATCAATTCCACCTCGATATAACATGGTCAAATCGGAGTTCACGATCAGTTCACGCTACTCAAGAAAAAAACAACGTGTTTATTGCGTGATTT